AGTGATTATGATTTCCAGTCAGATAGGGACGAGAGTAAGTCAACCTCTGGTTATGTGTTTATCTTGGGAGGTGGAGCCATTTCATGGAAGAGTGCTAAGCAAAAATGTGTGGCAGACTCCACCATGGAAGTCGAGTACATAGCAGCCTCAGAGGCAGCGAATGAGGCAGTTTGACTCAAAAACTTCTTGGTGAACTTAGAGGTGATTCCGAGTTTGCCACGTGGTATCACTGTGTACTGTGATAACAGTGGATCAGTAGCAAACTCAAGAGAACCACGAGCCCGCAGAGCAAGTAAACACATAGAGCGCAAGTACCATATGATCCGAGAGATAGTTGGTAGAGGAGACGTTGATGTTGCCAAGATTTCATCTGAGGACAACCTAGGTCTTCGTCAAACACGTGATAGGAATGAGAGTCCAGTGCATGGCGATAGGATCAACATAGGTATTTTAGAATAACGAATTGATAGGACTATACTTGTAAAAGCGAAAGCTTTAAGTATAAGTGGGAGATTGTTATTGTTGTATACTGAAAGCTTGGCTTTGGATGATATTACACTTTTATCCTTTATGAATGAGAAATATGTTAGATTAAACAAGTTCTACGTTCTGTTGTTTTGCATTAGATAGTGAGGGTCATCATCGGGCGAACCGAAGATCATACTATCAGTTACTCGCGAAACAAGAATAAGTGTTTCACAACCCATAAGGACATGAACACCCCATCGGGAACGGTTGTAGTGTCAACTGTATAGTTTATCTTGACTGATTAGTTGCACTAGTACATTTATGTATTGAACAGGATCCCAGAGAGGAGCAGTTCGTTTTTATACTGATCGTCGCAAACGAACTAGGCCTCAGTTAATTACTGCGTACTCTTAACCCGTAAGATATTAAACAGACATATATGTGTAATATTTATTACATTGATTCACATGGGTGAAGCTTAGTGAACTGGGCCAATAGACCCGCTATCTTGGGTAATATTGCTATATGTAGGATGTGCTGTTAGGATATTTACGGTCACCATGTGCGTTAGTTTGATGATGTCCCCGGAGTTAGTTCATGAAGGATTATTATGCTAAACCCTGCAGGTGGATTAAATTCCGACACAATAATAATATGATGAACGAGCGCTAGCTTCGATGAAATAATAATAAATTAATTAATTCTTGATTGTCACTAATCGAATTAATTAATGGACATTATATCTTAAATGTGGGGAGATAAATCGAGTAATTATTATTGGAGTCTCAATTGTAAATTAGGCTAGGAAAAGGGAGTGCAGTAATATTATGTTGGTGGCTTATTTAATATTATTTAATTAATTAAAATAAGTGACTTGGTCCACAAGTATTTTAATTAATTAAGGAGCCCTAATCTTGATCTCCTAAGGATCCATACTGTAGCTCTATATATACATCATTAAGCTCATTGGAAGAGAAGAGAATTCCACATCTTGTGAAACACGCCCCACGCCTCTCTTCTCTCTCTCAATTCCCATTCGAGCTTTATCTTCTTCTTGTTGTTCCACTGGTACAAGATTAAGAGGTGTTTGAGATAAACAGTAGAAGACCTTTGGGTAAAGTGAGACGAAATATATTTGGTCATACAGAACTAACCGGAGGTCTGATTTAAACATGCAGCATACCCAGAAGACCATCTCGACGAGAGCTTTCCAACGCCGCCGAGATCGCAGCCGTCCGACCACCCACGCGCCTGCACGCGCCGCCGCAAGCTCCAAGGACTACAACTTGTCTTCATCCGTTTTGCACTCGTTTGATCTGGTTTTCGATCCGATCTTGTTCGTGCAATTCTAGGACGCGATTTGCAGTCAACAATTCATTGGTGTGCTGTGTACAACCATCCAGAAGATCAACCAGATCGCCATAAACTTTAAGCCGTAAGTTCTCTACGCAAACCTTTAGATCCGTTGCGCATAGGTTTACGTTTTGCTATTGAATTCGTGATTTGTGCATAACGAGATCTTCATTGATCCCAACATGAAACAACTGACTTATGGCATGCGAGGCTGGGACATGTGAGCTATCATAAGCTTAAGGTGATGATGAAGAAATCAATATTGAAGGGCCTCCCTCAACTGGAAATAAGAGATAACACAATATGTGCTGGTTGTCAATATGGTAAAGCACATCAACTACCATTTGAATATTCAAGCTACAGAGCAAAGAAGCATCTAGAGACAATTCACTCTGACATATTTGGGCTAGTTAAACAACCTTCGATCAGAGGAATGCGCTATATCGTGACATTTATCGACAAATTCTCAAGGTACGTTCGGGTATTCTTTATTAAAGAAAAATCAGAAGCATTCACAAAGTTTAAAGTTTTCAAATAAACTCTTGAAAGAGAAGTCGGAGATAAGTCCAGTGACTTCGCATGAATAACGGGGGAGAATACACATCAATAGAATTCTCTCGATTTCTGAAAGAGTATAAGATACGCCATCAGTTGACGTGTACAAACACACCTCAACAAAATGGCATAGCAAAATGGAAAAATCGACACCTGGCAGAAACGTGTCGAAGCATAATATATGCGAAAAACGTACCAGTGAGGTTCTGGGCAGAATGTATGAAGACGGCAGCCCACGTGGTAAATCGGCTACCACAAGAGCTGGGATTCATGCCACCATTTGAAAAGCTATGGAAAATCAAACCATTTGTTAGCCACTTCAGAGTCTTTGGGTGCATCTGTTACGTGTTCGTACCAAGTCACTTACGGAGCTAATTTGACAAAAAGGCAATCAGATGCATAATCTTGGGATATGACAGCCAAAGAAAAGGGTGGAGATGTTGTGATCCATCAACCGGTCGGTGTTACACATCACGCAACGTGATATTTGACGAAACATCTTCTTGGTGGACACCGCATAAGTTGGAGCTACCAAATTTAAAAGAAATCGAGGATAAGCTCCAGAAATGGGTGAAACTTCTGGAAGAACTCAAAGAATGGAAAATCAGACGAGGAAGGGGAGCCTCCAAGAACAACTAAATGTCTGTGGCAGACCGGTGTATATGAAGTAACTCCAGAAGCGGTGAGGCCAACTCAAATCGAGTAGATTGAGCGACCAGGAGAGGAATGAGGCGATGTACCGGAAAGTCCACAACAACTACGGAGATATTTCAAACAAAAGAGGCCAAATCCCAGGTACGCCAATAAAGCTTTAGAATAAGATACAAATATAAAAGAGCCACAATTATCTGAGGAAGCAATTAAACATAATAATGGACAAAAGCAATGAAGAAGGAGATTATGGCCCTAAAGCAGAATGAAACATGGGACTTAGTACCCAAACCGAATGGAGTTAAACCCATATCTTGTAAATGGGTTTATAGAATAAAACAGCAGCCTGACGGATCAATTGAAAGATATAAAGCTCGACTAGTTGCACGTGGATTCTAACAACAATACGAACTAGACTACGACGAGACATTCAGTCCAGTGGCAAAAATCACAATAGTTCGAATACTGATTGCACTGGGTATCGAGCAGAAGCAATGGCAGCACAAGAAAGCACATTGCTTATGCAACTATTAAAAGATATGCATTAGTCATTTAGCTATGCGGTAGAGTTATATTGTGATAACCAATCCGCTATACGCGTGGCAGAGAATCCCATATGCCACGCGAGAACAAAACACGTCGAAGTAGACTATCATTTCGTTAGAGAAAATGTGCTCAAAGGAAAGATTGAGATGAAACACATTGGTACAGAAGACCAAGTAGCTGGCGTGTTTACCAAAAGGGCTAAATTTTTCAAAATTTGAAGAGTTCCAAACATGTTTGGGAATTGTTCGAGAAGAAAACATTACTCAAGAAGATATCGTTGCTGAAGGAGAGAATTGAAAATCATCAACGACATTAAAAAAAAATTAAGATAACTATGGTCACTAAAAATTAGAATATTCTATTAAGGAAGCATCTACAAACTCTTGCAAGTAAATAAATAATTAGTACTCTAGATTTTTTCATAAGCATCGACTTAGTTTGCCTAATCAACTTAGTTTGCCTATAAATATGTGTGTGGTCTACCATTTTGGTGTGTGCAAGAAAATATTAAGTGTGTGCTTGAGTGCTGTGATGATCAAAATAACAAGTGAGCGAGTGAGCATTGTGTGTGTTGTGCGTAACAAGTGAGTTGAGAGAAAGAGTGAATTTTATCTTGACTGCTATTGTAAGGTTTGTAAATTACATCTTTTGTGTAATATAAAAATTATTTTGATTACTGTTCTTGTGAGTCTTGTTCCAACATTCAGTTCAACCGGTTCAACCGGTTTTGGACTAGTTCGAACGGTACTTCACCGGTTCTCATGCTTGGCGGTTTGATGGCTTAAACCGGACCAGAATGAAGGTCGGTTCCCCATCCATCTAGTTGAACCGGCTGGTCCGGTCCGATTTTCGGAACCATGATTAATATGCTCCGCTTTTGGTCGCACTTTCAGCCGTAGAAATGATTAATATGCTCTATCAATTTTTTATTTTTTTTCATGGAAATTAAATTTTGTCGATGATCCTATCATAGGGTCTTTATCATTGACTTGCCCCTGGTGTGTAGACGAGGGAAAAGAACATCTGAATCTAAATGAAAAATGATTGCCACAAGGTCCCAATCACAAAGTTGTAGCACAAATCCACAACTATTAATTATAACGGAGACGCATATCTAATCAGGAAAATATAAAATTACAATAGTGGGGATCGACTGTGGCAGGTACATGCTCTTCTAGCCTTGTTTGCCACTCCACACAACTCAAAAAATAACCACATTGCACCATTTAGACATAACCTCAAGGCATCGACCAAAATCTTCTTCAATCTGTAACACAACAGTATCTTGAAAGGATAACATACAGTGTCATAACTATTCTTACTTTCTTAGGACTCACTCAGCTTTCAAAAAGAAACTCATCAGTTGTCAACACATGCACACGGAAAACAAAGAAGTTCGTTCGAGCCCTAAAAAACAGCAGAATATCTTACATCTCTGCTGCACGAAACCTTTCTTCCTTGGCTCCACTAGTCAATAACCTATCTTCCCTGCTTTCTTCATCCGAGTCCAATAACAAACCAGCTTCTCCTCCTATGCTATCCTCACCATTCTCATTAGGTGAAAGCTGTGGTACTGAAATTGCATTCTTTTTGTAGGTCCACACAAGCATGGAAACATAATCCTGAGGTGAAATCAAGCCTTGCTCTTTGAGGCATTCGCGCTGCTCTTCAAGAGTTGCCGAGTCCTCAAGCTTTATGTACTCAATCAATGTTTTCTCGTGATCGGGCCTCCAGCCCGCGGGGAAAGGGGAATAATCCGTTTCGGGCACAAGAGACATCCGCGTGTATTGAAGTCCATCAATCGACTCGACGAGACCCATCCTCAGCAAATTGTGATATTCCGGAGACTGCCCTTTTTTTTCCTTGAGCGGGCGACTCAAGTTCCGGGCCCCGATTTTGTAAACTTTGGCTCGCGACCTCAGCTTGTATTTCGCAGCGTAAAGCTTTGCAAGGGAGCCCCTAATTATGTACGAGCAGAAATTAACTATTTTCTTCCTGTTGTCGGCATATCTGTACCACTCGACTATGGTGGACAGGAACTTATTCATCTGGGCATTCGTGTGGGCCTGAGTGGCGTGAAACATTCTGAAACAGGGCTGGGGATCTGGATCTCGGTCACCCTTGAGAAAACTCAACTTCCTAAACTGCTTAATGCACTGCTTCAAGCTGGCAGTGACCGACAAAAGCGTCCCAACACCCTTCTCGCTGATAATTTTCCCGCCAGTCGCTGTGTATCTCAAGGTAGGGTACACGACCCGCCTGCACAGCACGTGGTCGAGAAACATAATGCCTTTGGTTATGTGCTCGATTGGGAGGTTTTCATTGTCGAGTTTCAACATGTACTTCTGGTCACAAAACTCAATCAACTGTTTTCTCAGAGTAGCCGCATCGGCCCTCGGGCCACGAACCCCAATCAGGATATGACCGCCGTAACGTATGTAGTCGATCTTCCTGGTCTTGTCTGGGCCGCTAGTCGGGACGAATTCGGGCCAAGACGTGTTCCCTTGTTCGGCCTCACCTTCCGGGCTGTTCCATATGACATCACTCGTGGAAGGCTTGTAAAATTCTTTAATTTTAACCTCCATCCACTGGTCAAGCTCGTCAAGGCACACGTTAGCCAAAAGAGGGCTGAGTATCCCGCAGTGGCCCCACGACGGGTGTACCACAGCCTCTTCAGGGGCGAACCCGAAGAACGTTTCTAACCAATACGGGTCGGGCTTGGGCTCGTCTTCTGCTAAAACTCTCTTTTTCTGATACTTCCTTTTTGTTTTCTTCTTCTTTTCCCCATCTCCCGGCTTAGTTGTTATAACAGGGGTGGTTAAGGCGGCTTTTATTAGATCAACCACCTTCTTGTCCCTAACATCCCTCATTAAGGCGCTGATGACCATCCCAACCTTCATCCCATCCAGAACAGTACTCAAATCGCCCTTTATGTACCACAAATAGCCAGCAAAGTTCCTTCTTATCACCCTCAACACCGTGTGTGCATTCCTTCCGGGCCTAAAGGCAAACGACTTTTGCGAAAACCGAGCCTCGTAAATGGGCTCCAGTATCATAAACAAAACCTCCTGGACAATCCTGTCCTGAAAAGGGGCCGGCTGAGTAGTCGTCAAAATTGCCCTGATTTTTCTCTTGGATAAAGACCCGTAATCCGTCTTGTCCTTTGGTGACCGAATGAAAAACTCCAACCGAGCTCCCCACTTGAAGCGGCTGTCGAGAACGGCATTCCTTAATGCCAACAAGTCTTCGAGTGCTGGACGTGTGATCGCGCTACGGGGCATGTACGCGCCCGTCTCATCAGCAGATACCTTCTGGTACGCCAGCACCCACAGCTCGAATCTCCTCAAATAACCAGCCAAATTAGATACAGTCTTATTGGGCTCCCGGAAATTTTCGATCCACATTTGGGAACAAATGGACACGCCGTCCTCCTTCATCAAGGTGGCTGGGTCATTCGGGTCAGACGGCTGCCTCGTGAAAGTGTACCTGCTGTACGAAAATGCTCTGAATGAAAAAGCCCCATCTTTATTTATAGGTTTCGCTCTGTGATGCAATTGAGGGTGGAGTAAATCGTTCGTGGTGTGCAATAAACTCGTTGCTTTGCTTCTGAGTGCTCTACGGCTCAAAACCACAGTCCGATGCATTTAAACTGCCGCCTTCACGACTAATAGAGAAAAATGAACCCAAACACGATCAAAAACTTTGAGCCTTCAAAATTTGATAAGATGGTCCAATTGCGGAGAACTAAGAAAGGAAATGGGAAAAAAACGAAAGAGCGAGGTCTAAACTTACACAACGAGCAGATTGCAAGAGGAGAAGCTCCTTCAAACATTAGCATAACTTGTTTCGAGCTCGAGGAGGTTGATCTCTTTCTGCAATTAGGGGTTTGTCGGAGGTTTTAGGGATGGGTTATCGGCAAACGCCCTGAAATCTAAAACCCTATCTAGGTAAATTTGAAAAAGCTTTAAAAAAAAAAAAAAAAAAAAAAAGATTGGTGTTTTACGACACATAAAAATTAGTGTAAACATTTATACATAATTTTAAAAAAGAAAAAGAAATGGACTGATAGTAAGAAAATCTGAGCAAGAGCTCCATATTTTCTTTAATTTTATCCAACAATCTCGTATTTTTCTTAATTTTTCTTATTTTTCTTTATTTTTCTTTATTTTTATTTTTCTTTTTTTACTTTGTAACAAATTTGGTGTTTTAAAACTTTAAATTATCTCTCAATTTAATGGTGTTACGAGTTTTGTTAATTCTAGGACTTAATTTGATAGTTTTGTAACATTTAAGTCTCGAATCGAGGAAAAAATCTTTCAGACCCCGCATTAATAGTTTACTCATCTTTCGGGTCTTTAATTTGATAGTTTTATAACATTTAAGTCCTAAATTGATAAAAAAATCTTTCAGGCCCTAATTTACCCATCTTTCGGGTCTTGTATTGATAAAACTCCTAATAATAATATATAGAAAAATGATATGATATTCCTAAAAAAATGATTAAAATAATAATAAAAAATAGTAAGAGATTTAAAAGGTAAAAAAATAAAAATAAAAAATGTTGCCATTTTTTAGTTATTTTAGTATGTTTCAACGATATTTTCTCTAAAATTCTCATTCCACAAATCATTGTTCTCCTCAGTCCCCATTGCTTTTAATCTTTCTCCTCGGTCCATAATTC